TATCCCGACTCCTTGGCCACAACATTCCACTATCCCCCTCTGTTTGCATTCTTGGCAATCTGGATGAACTTAACACAAACTCAAAATAAATCCTAACACCCTTACTATCGCCAAGAAAACAATACTGCTAAACTGGAAAAGTAGGAGAAAGATCAGCACATCACAATGGTTAGACCTCCTTACACAACAGATATCAAACAACACCTCTCTACAACACCAAAAATGGTCACCATGTGTACAACCTATCCCACCCAGTTTTATTTTGTTACTATACTGTCCTCATGTTTTTCTTTGTCCTGTTTGCTCATTTACTTATTTTGTCCCTCTTTCTAATTCATTCATTTTATTTACTCACCCTTTTCCTTTTGATTTGTTTGTTTGTTTGTTTTTGTCTAAATCTGCTTGCAAAACTGTATCGTACCACAGTTCCCCTCTTGTTTGTATTTCTTTTTTTTTATTGTGTGAGTGTGTGCATGCACGTTTTGGTGAACAAAAATTTATTTCAAAATAAATAAAAAAAACCTGGACTTTGATGGTGAAGCATGCTTAGGCACGATACGGGTTGCCATGTGCGAGCGCGCTCTGAAACATGTTTGAGCCTCTGAGTGACACATAATCACTTAATTGAGGTTAAAACTTGTGCAGACAGACAGACAGCGGACACATTAAGATGTGCTCACCCCGACATCCTCCAGCTGCATCAGTCTCACAGGGTTCTCTCGCTCTCTCTCTGTTTCTTCTCATGTTCTCTGTCAGTTTGTTGAGCGTGTGCAGTCTGAAGAATCAGGAGCACCTGCTGAAGCTGACCGTCTCCACGCTGGACTACAGCACAGACGGTCTGTCTCGGGTCATCCTGTCCAAAGTCCTCACTGCTGCCAACGATGTAAGACTCACCGTTTGTGCTTTTATTCCTTCATACAGCGGCAAAGAAAAGTCTGTTGATTAAAATACAGAGTTAGAATTTGCATCCTGACTGTAAAAGGCGTCAGACTCCAGATAACTGAAGGTGTCGTACAAATCAGTGTTATTGTCTCTCAGCCTCTGATCTCTTCCTCACTCGTCTGAACTGATGACAGACCTGCAGGCTGTACGCCACCAAGCACCTGCGCGTCCTCCTGCGGGCAGGCGTGGAGTTCTTCAGTAACTGGGGCATGGAGCTCTTGGTCACTCAGCTCTACGACAGGAATAAGACCGTTTCCATGGAGGCGCTGGACATCCTGGATGAAGCCTGTGAGGACAAGGTGAGGGGGGAGGAAGAAACACAGGAAGTAGAAATACATCTGATGATTTAATGTAAAAAAAAAAGAAGAAAGGAAATCAGCTCTATGCATGCTGTTCTTCAGGCCAACCTTCACGCTCTGACAGAGATGAGACCAGCTCTGTCTCACCTGGGGGACAAAGGTGTGCTGCTGCTGCTCAGGTGAGGAAACACACATCTGTCTGACTGGATGCTTTTATGAAGGTGAAGGTGATTTGATTCCTGTTGGGCGTGCATGTGTGGAACTTTTCCACCTCTGATCCAGTAAATCTCTGTTTCCTGAGTTCAGTTCAGTTCAGTTCAGTTCAGATCTTTATTGTCCCTGGAAGGGAAATTTGATTCGCAGCAGTGGACACAAAAACACAACAGATAAACAGACATAGGACAGTGCAACACAACCTGATGAAATATAAAACTCACTGATCGTTAACAAGTGTCACTCAAATAGTAATAAATAGATAAATAAATATGATAAATATAAAGTGCAATAGCTCTGCTTGAAAGTGCAGTCAAGGATTTAAAGAAGATTAAGAGCATTAATTGCACAAGTATGTATATCTGTTTGCCTGTACCTCCGACCTGAGGGGAGAAGAACAAATTCCTCTAAGAGAGGATGGTCAGAGCTGGACAAGATAGACTTTGCTTTCCTAACAACTTGTCTGTTCCAGATATCTAACAATGAAAGCTGCTGAGCGCCAATTATTCAGAAGCTTTGTGGAGTTTTTACTGTTGAAGCGGATCTAAAGCCCTTCGAGTTATTGTGACTGAAGCATCCTTTGTGTTTCTGCAGGTTTCTGTCCATCCCAAAGGGCTTCTCGTACCTCAGTGAGAGAGGATACATCTCTTTAGAGATGGAGAGATGGCAGAAGGTGCATTAACAGCAGCACACATCTTTCTGTTCTCAGCTGTTTTCACACATACACTCCTGAAAATATCTAGAACATTTCAGGCCGACTGCCTCTGAAATCTTCCTGAGTTGTTATTTCACATGTGCACCTCAAAGCGGGAGACTTTCACTTTTTTTATTTAGAGGTAGGAAAGAAATCGAGTTAGAGAGAGAGAGAGAACGAGAGAGATAGATAGAGAGAGAGAGAGAGAGAGAGAGAGAGAGAGAGAGAGAGAGAGAGTGGGGAACTACATGCGAGAAAGGAGAAACAAACATGCAGCTCACCCCGAAAGCCTTGGGGAGTTTTGTGCATGTGTGAAAGCACCATGAAGAGAACATGTAGCAGCTCTGCTCCTGTGTGTGTCCCTGCAGGAGTTTAACCTGAAGTATGTGGACCTGATCGAGGAGCAGCTCAACGAGGCTCTCACCACCTACAGAAAACCTGTCAACGGAGAGCAATACGTACGCCGCAGCAACCAGAGGTCATGATCCTGCAGTGTGGACTCTTGTTTGTCAGAGTTTAAAACAAAGTCAAATAGAAGCCCGGTGTTCACGATGCAGCAGCTTCAGTCCTGAAGTTTAGTCACCAGAAAAGCCTTGATGTCAGTTTTTAACTTCTGGATAAAAAAGCACAAAGTCCAGTGTTCCCTGCAGACTTAAAGGAGCAATCTCTGACCCGTAGTGGTTAAAATGGGAACTGCAGTCCAGATTCTAAACATTGTAGAGAGCTGTCTCCCCCCGCCCCCTCCTCTCGAGAGTCGATGCTCACTCAGGTCACCATGTGGTGGACACTGAAGCTTCAGTGTTTATCCAGCTCTGCATCGGTCTGTAAACCTTTCTGTGTTCTAACCTCTCTCCATTTTTCAAAAGCATCTCCAATATTGATCCTAGTTTGAGCACGTTTCTGCTCGTGGAGCTTATTAGAAACATGCAGAGGCTTTTTAGGTCGGGTACAATCACTTCTATCTGAACCACTTCTCTTGACTGCTTCCATCGCTGCAACACCTGTTGACCTGATAACTGCTCTCATATCTGGCAAACCGAGGGGCATCCAAAACGGCCGTGTGGGGGTGCCTTAAAACCGCCTACCTTCTCTGGTCCAAACAAATCCAGATCATTCAGGTCCAGAATCTAAAGTTAGGAGGACATACTGGCTGCTGCATTGTTGTCAGAGAAGCCAGCACTTCAACATAGCATGTTTCCTTAATGTCTGATCATATAGTAAGGTCACTTTACCATTTCACTCACTACACATCTCACTGATTGGAACTTTAAATGATCGTACAGCTCTCATTGACGAGAGATTAAATAATAAATCCTTTACCTGTTATCGGTCTGTATGTCTGGTGCAGCAGGTCACAGAGGCCACATGTGTATCTGCCTGTACACCTGTACGGTCAGCTGGTTCATGATAAGACCGGCTGCCAGCTCCTTCAGGCTCAGGTGAGTTTACCTGTTGGTTAAAACACAGCTGCAGACCGGACTCTGAGCAGCACTTACTTTTATTATCTTTAGATAATATTTGAATACTTACTTGAATCTTTAGACCAAAATGTGTATTAGTTAAAGTCACATATTAGTCATTACTTTTTAGTTTTAGTCAATAACAACTCAAAACATTTTGGGTCGATTAAAGGTAATTTTTGCTCTGACCTGAGGTCTTTTCTCCTCGTCCTTGTGCAGAACGTCGTCCCTGATTTGAGCTTCACCGTTCGCTCTCCTGTCCTGGACCGATGGGAGGGGATCAGGCAGCTGAAGGCAGCTCTCTGGGCCCTGGTCTGCACATTTATTCTGTTCTGCTTGTACAATCTCAGACTGTCAGTCCAGTTAATCCATTCCTGAAGCCCCCCCTGGTGTCTGTTCCTGCAGGGACACATCGGCACGTCTTCCTGGGGTCTGAACCTGCTGCAGGAGGAGGGGGTGATCCCAGACATCGTGGATCTGGCTCACAGCTGTGAGGTTCTGTCCATCAGAGGGTACGACCCCCGACATGAGTCATTTACTTCAGTGATTATATCATTCTGAATATTAGGTCAGCAGCATGTTGTGGATTTACGAACAGGTCAATGATTGTGTGTCTTCAGGACGTGCCTGTACGTGTTGGGTCTCCTCAGTCGGACTCATCAGGGCTGTGACTCTTTGAAGCAGCAGGGTTGGGACTCTGTGAGACACAGCAAGAGGACTCTTTGGCCCGTGGTCCCGGAGGAGCTCGAGCCTCAAATTCGACTGAGCGCTGAATCCAGGACCATCACCGAGTCCACGAGAAACTCGGCACAGCCCAGTAAGACCAGAGCGTCCAGTAAAGTCATAGTTTAGGTTTCTTTTAAAGGCTTGTAGTAAAGCGTGCGTGTGCGTGTGCGTGTGCGTGTGTGCAGGTGTGTGTGTGCTGGATGCTGATAGGCTCCAGAGTTCTGACATCGCAGAAGACTCCTCCCCCTCTCTATACACCTGTCCAGAACTGATGAAGAAACTGACCCCCCTCACCACGCTGGCCTCCTGCAGCCACCTCCTGCACTCTCTGTCCCTCCCCAGGAAGAAGATCACCCACTCTGAGGACAGCACCCCAGACCCTGAAGGAGAGCCTGAGGGGGGGCAGGGACTTAAAGAGAATGAAGCGGAGTTCTCTGTTCGCAGAAACAACCAAGTGTCCCGGTGTTGCGAGGGGGACCAGGGGAGCAGCCATAGCCTTGAAGAGGAGGAGGTGAACAGGGAGGAGGAGGGGAACGGGGAGGAGGAGGTGAACGGGGAGAAGGAGGTGAACGGTGGGGAGGAGGTGAACGGGGAGAAGGAGGTGAACGGGGAGGGGGAGATGAGCAGGTTTGGGGAAAACCATCAGAGGGGGACACGCAGCTATGAGCGTTTGGCTGAAGACGGACCCTCTGGAGGGGGCGGAGTTCCGCTGAAGAGCCGGAGCCAGAGCTTTAACACAGACTCCACAACCAGTGGTATCAGCTCCATGAGCTCCAGTCCTACCAGGGAGGCCCTGCATCCCCCCACAGAGACCAGAAAGACCCCCCTGCCTTACTCGACCCGTCTCTCCATCCCCAAGTCCTGCTCTGTCTTCCTGGTCCCTCCTGGCTCCGCCCACACGCTGCCACGGCGCGCTCAGTCCTTCAGGTCCCCATCGGTGAGCACTCTGAGCAGCTTGGCGGACTGCAGTCTGTTCTGCAGCTCTTCCAGCTGCTGCACCACCCCCCAGGACGCTCTGGGTTACACCACCCTGAGAAGGCTGCAGCACCAACGCATCCAGCCCTGCGTGTCCCACAGCGAGGCCCGGGCATCCCCAGCCAAGGAGATCTTGTTCACCGACACCATCACCATGAAGTCTGGAAGTCTGGACTCCAGACGCACAGCTCAGAGGTGAGGATCCTCAGGTTTGAAACATCAATGAAAATAGAAGAATGAGACTCAGAGACTAGCTGGGGATCAACGCCTCAGTCTGCTGTAGGTTGAAATTGACTGAAGTTGGAGGTTTTTAATCAGTTTAATTGACTAAATTGGGCTCATGCAATAATAATGACAAACAGGCCAGTCACATAGTTAGCTGTGAGCAGGACTCATGATGACTACATCCTGTCAGTCTCTGTCTGCCTTCAGGTTCCTGAAGGCTCTGAGTTTTGCGTCTCTGGACAAGGAAGACCTGCTGAGTCCCATTAACCAGAACTTTCTGCAGAACCCGTCCTCGGTCCGCTCCTTGGTCTCCTCTGGATCCTTCAGCTCCTCTGAGGAGTTTATGGGCCTCGCTCTGCCCGTCAACATCAACAACATGCTCCATGTGGGGACTACTTCATAACAAGATTAAAAAAAAATAACTTACTCTTCTTTTCCTTCTCTGACGTGTTCAGTCAACTCACACAGACTTTTGTTTCGATTCGTTCAGATCAAAGACACTCCATATTTCCAGAAGAGGCTTAGTCCTCCGTCTGAGGAGCACTCTGCTGGATTCTTCTCTGGAGGAGGATCTGACGGTGAGTTAGCTTTAGCATCCAGTTAGCTTTGCTGTGTTTCCTGAGGTACCTTTAGCATCCTGTTAGGTGTACTGTTTTCTCAAGTAGCTTTAGCATCCTGTTAGCTATGCTATATGTTCTCAGGTAGCTTTAGCATCCTGTTTACTCTAATGTTTGTCCTCAGGTCTCAGCGATGGAAGTCAACCAGCGAGGCTCCGCTCACAGCTCAGCATCACAGAGCTGCTGAACCGGGCTGATCAGAACCAGATCCTGGCCTCGGAGGAGACCGGTCTGCAGGATCACAACCAGAACAACTGTCTGTACTGTTCTGGACTGACTGTGATGGAGTCCAACTCTGAGGACAGGGACACAGGTGGGACAAAGTATTGAAGGAGTCAAATGTCATTAACCTTCATTTAAATCTTTTAAAGGCTCATTTGTGTAATGGAGGTGTGGTTATAGAAATATCTCAGGGTTTGCTGAGGCTGTGGAGGAGCAGCCCAATGTGAGATCTGTTGATGGGGCCCAGATAAATCCTGAAGACGCTCCTGACTGAATATATAACGCATAGATTATTGAGCTGCTCAGTGAAGCCTTCGTGATACAAATTAATTGTCCTTGTTATCGTCTTCTTCAGAGCCCACAGACGCCCCGCTGTGTCCGGAGAGGCTAGGTCCAGCTTCCTCTCAGCAGCTGGAGGTCCTGGTCCAAACCGATCCGTCAGGAGGGTCAGGGTGCAGTGACTCTGTGTCTCGGGGGTCAGCGGGGAGCCAACACAGCACAGAGATGGTTTTAGGTGGGTGCCTATCACCGAAGTTGTGAGAGCAGAGCCACAAGTGTGTGTACACCAACTTCAGGGCCTTTGTGACTGCACAAACTGGCAGACAGCATCTGGATTCACCATGGCAACGGCAGGCATGCCTGTTTGATGTGTCCTCCCCCTCCTATCACCAAAGATATGAACGAGAGAAACGTTGGCAGGAAACATGTGCAGACCTCCAGCTGACAGGGGAGATTTGTCATGATTTAGCTGCTGGCATTTTTGACTGCGCTTGTATTTGAGGTGTGCATATGAGACCACTGAAATACACATCTAAAACATCTGTGGGAGGACACATTATGTGTGAATCCCCCGTCCTGAATTTAACTCAAGCAGTGTGAGCGCATAAATCGTGAGCTTTGCTTGTGAGTCATAAATGATTCAGTCGTGCAGAGTGAGCAGACATTTTTACAATTGCACGATGTATTTGCAGCCTCAGAGTTATATTCTTCTTCACATGTCTGCATTTTCAAACTTAACGTTTTCAGTTACTGGTTGTTGTCCCTGAACCTCCATATCTCCAGTCTCACACCGCTTCATCGTCTGTTTGAACTCTGACAGGTGTGAAGCTGATCGCAGAGGATGCTCCTGCAGGTCAGGTTCTCCTGAGGAAAGAGGTTCTCCGTCTGATCATCAAACTCAGCTCATCAGTGGGGACAAAGAACCACGAGACCAGCCTGCTGGCGTGAGCCTAAAGACATTTAATAACTTTAATAAACTGCTTTTAAACAGTACAGAGTAAACGTCCCGCTGACGTCAGGATGATGATACTCTAATACATTGCTAGCTGTCCAGCCTGTCCTGATGTGTCGTTTAATGTGTTTACTGTCCAGTATAAAGGAGAAGTTTCCGTCTGCGTTTGATGACGTCTGTCTGTACTCTGAGGTTTCCTTCCTGCTGGCTCGCTGCTCGTTCCGTCTGACATCACGCCGCTTCATTCAGGAGCTCTTCCAAGATGTTCCCTTCACACCGGTAAGGAGAAAAAATCTCCTTCATGATTTTATGGGTTCAACAGGAAACAGCTGATTACAAATTTGAGTATAGAGAGGACCGGTGAAGGACCGAGAGAACCTTTAAATGACCCGTTTATTGCTCGTTTCTCGCTGATAACAAACGAGCGTGTTTAAATGAATCACTCCTGACTGAAGTCACCTGCTGTTAATCTACCTGTGCATTGTGTCTGTGTGTCTCAGTTGTATGAGGAGGCAGAGAGCGTCCTGTCAACATCTCCAAAGAGACCCTCGTCTCCACACTCTGACGCCTGACTCCCCCTGAATGCACCACGGACTCCCCTGGACTCACCGCCTGGAGACCCCACACCTCCATCATCCCTCAGTCTGTGTCTGAAACCCTACTCACTGTATACTGCTTTAGAGCCTCACACTGGACTGTTCATAATATATTAATCATAGTCAGAGTCTTATTTACAGACTTTATTTACAGAGCTTTTATTTTGAAGGCACACAGAGGGGGAATTGTTTTGCTGATCACTGGAAAGTTTGAGCGCCAGGTCTCTTATAAATACTGCGGCGCAGTTACCACCAACTCGCAGCAGACACTCGTTTTTCACTTTAACTTAAAGTCAGGGTTGGTAATTTTCTCCAGATCCACTTTTTCAGGTTTTGGTTGAAATTGTCTTTAGGTCCTGACACAAATTAATAACTCATGTTCTCTGAAAAAGGAACAAAGTAAATCCATCATCTGTATCAGTTGTAAGCCTGTAAAAACTTCAACCAATGTCTACCAAAAGGTACCAATCTGATGAACCAATCACATGCCTCCCTGTCTCCCTACTCGCTCTCTACCCCTTGCAAGCACGAGCACGCACTCAAAGCAAGAGCTGAGGTCCGCTTCTGGAGCAACGTCGCTTGTTCATGTAGCGAGGGGCGTGGCTTTTTTGAATGCTACTTTCAAAATCATGCTATTTTTCGAAAATTACCAACTCTACCTTTAACGTGGCTGTTAGCGCCGCTTTTTGTGAGTTAGACGCTTTTTACGATGAGGCTGATTTGCTTATGAAGGGGGCAGTTTTTACCCCAAGTGACTGTTAACGACTCAGCCTCACGTATGGACGTACAGAGACGCTGTTTGCTCTGCAGCGCAGTAAGCGGTGCATTTAACCCTTTGTGTGTGATTTTTGTGAATTTGACTGAGTCACTTTGACTCATTTGCACAGGTTTAGCGGACGCAGCAAAAGCCACATGACCCTTTTGTGAATCAGCCTCTGAGTTTTTATAAAGCATCGCACTATTTGGCTGCAGCGGAGCCGACAGACACTCTACATTCGAACAAGCATGCACACGCTTTTTCTATGATTGACAAGTAGCAAAAAACATTTCAATCTAGATGTTTCTGTGAATTTCTCATGTGTGACACATTTCTCTGCGGTGTGTAATATGTGCAGGTAGAAATGCTTTTTAGAAGGAGAGCTTACTTTGTTTTAAGATTTTAAGATGTAAAGACTGAAGGGTTCGTAATAAAGTCTAACATCTGTAATTTATTAATTATAATAACTTTTGTTAATTTATCTCACAGTAATCTAACTCACAGGTTCAGGTATCAGAGTCTTGTTAATGATCGGAGGTTTGCACATGACAGGGCGATAAAAGTAGAAAAGTCGGACAATCTTCGCTCTTCTTCTTCATGAATGTTCTTGTGTTTCAAATACATGGGCCAGACGTGGCCATCGAACAGGCCGGGGGGGTCTGGCACAGTGTAGTTCCTAAAGCAATATTTAAAGGCACGGACTGACAGCAGAGGACTCCGCTCCTCTGACACGATAGCAATAATGATTTTTTTGTGATGAATGTTTGACTTGAATACTCAAACGTACGTTAAGATATGAAGTGTTATTTATACTGATCAATGCTACACACTGCCTGCATGTACTCACTTTTTAAAATATCGTTGAAACTTTGCATAGGAATAGTCCGCCGTTGTTATGAGTTCCAGATTTATGAGGAGAGGTTCACAATCACCCACTCATACATGTCCATGGGGTCCGATCACACAGAGATTGAAAAGCGCCTGAGCGTATCTGGGGAGAAAACAGCGGGGAGCGCCTGTGGAGCGGGGCTCCGTGCATATGGGCGACCAAATAAAATAGGTGGGAAAAAATGGAATAGAGCAAACCTTTGCTTTGCTCCGAGACGAGGAGGGGAAATGTCATAAAAAGGAGGTAAAGCCTCCTAATTGTTTTTTTTTTTGAAGATTTATTTTTGGGCTTTTTGTGCCTTTACTGAAGAGATAGGACGGTGGATAGAGTCAGAAATCATGACATGAGGGAAAGGAGCCAGAACCCGGGCCGCCCGCCCGGAAGACCACAGCCTCCATACATGGGGTGCACACGCCAACCACCGCGCCACCAGCGCCCCGCCTCCTACTTGATTTGATTGGCTTCAACCTAAAGTGACACTGAAGCGTGCTGTGACTCCACGTCTTGAGCTGAGGAGTCGGAAAATGTTTTCACTTGAAGCGCACCCAAAAAACAGCTACAAAAAAACGCGCCGTGCAGCAGCAGAAAGGAGCGCCCTGCAAGCATGCTGTACCCGAGGAAAACAAAGGTTCTGCTGGCGACGCTTTTCTAGCGATGCGTCTCCGTGTGACCGGGCCCTTACTTTACATATCCACACTGAGGGGTAATCGTTCTTAAATTTGACAGATTAGAGGTCCACAGGTAATCCTTATCCTGCTCAAATTGGGCTTCATGGTGCATTCCATTTACCTCAGATGTGAGGTCACACCCGAGTTGACTCCATTTCCTGTTGGTATAAAGTTGGAAAAGCAACATGGCCTAATGCAAAACTGGAGGGTCTGACCTCCGGAAATATAGTTTTTGACTTCTAAACTTGATTTTTATTGAATTTACCCTCCCCCGCTTCAGTAACCGATCCAAAAGCAGAACAGTCCAAACCAAGTCTGCTGGCTAAGTTCCTCCAAAACCGAAAAGAACAGGTTAAAAATTTATTTGAAGCAGGAGGACCTTTGTTGTGTTAGCTAACAGCAGAAGATAACGACACACTGTGTTGATAGTCTGCATGTTAAAGCAACATGACAACACGTCCACTACAGAACCTGAACGATTCTGTCGGTTTGATCGATTGAATTACACAGAAACGAGACTTAACAAACGTTTTCAAATGGAACGCACTTTAACCCTTCATTCACCGGACGTCTGACACAACGGACAGACGAGTGTAGCACAACATGACAGACTGCTCATTTTGATCTGCTGTTAACGATTTGTAACACTTTCATGACTGCTGCAGCGAAATAATAAACCCTGAGAAAGGCTCGAGGACTATGACAGGGAGACAAAGTTAACAATCCAGCAAAAGAAAAATTAATTAAGGGAGCTAATTAGTTTGCTTTAAAAGCAGCTGATTCATCAGTTTAAACACAAGCTAAGATTAAAACAAAAGTCGTGAATTCAACACAGCAGCAAAATGATGCATTCATCAGATGTACTTCTTTTGATTTTAACAAAACTTTGCACAAAGAACTCAAACATATCAAACTGTGAATCGCTCTTGAGGATCACGAGGAGACTAAAGGTCTTTCTGGACAAAAAGGCTGAGGTCCTTGTTGAACACTGTGTGCCATATTAACTTTAACAAGTCACTTTATTCAGTCTGAGACCGAACTGTATCAGAGCACACTCGGCGACAGGGTTAGCATGGTTAGCACGATTAGCACAATTAGCATTGTTAGCTTGCTTCTCCTTGTCTGTTTTCATATTCTTGTAGCGATGTTTCATGGCCACTCAAACCTCAGTTTGTGCTTTGAACTGAACTTTATAATGAAATGTAACCTTCTTCTGTTTTGATGACGTAGCTTCTTTGAATAAAAATGTTTAACTGAAATAATGTAAATGTGCAATTTAAGGAGAGACCTCCTGCCTTTGGTATTTAACATTTCACAACATGCAACATGTAACATGTGCTCTGTTCTGTAGAGACTTTGACACTAAGAACTGTAACGACTGAAGTGGTCTGAAATAAAGAGGAACTAAATGAAAACGTGTGTCTGTCTATATTTCTACGATGGCCGACAAGGGCGACCGACCTGCAACAGCCGAAACGACTTCATTAAGAAAAACACAACAGGTCTATATCTCTAAGTGTGTTGTGTCAATGCATTCATTTAACTGCTCCTGATCGAGCTGGAGCCTCCCTCGTCTCGTATCTTAAATATCAATCATGTTTGAGCCACCTCCGATGGAAAACCTGCAGCAGCCAATGAGAGCGAGCGGACTGGGATGTTTCACTTTAACAGCTCACAAACATGGCGGTGAACATAAATACAACTGAGCCTCGAGCTGAGACAGATATTGAAGAAGAAGAACTATGGCGACAACACGAGTGTCTTTATAAAGTCTCATGAAGACAAACCACATAACCAGCTGACCCCTTCCATCGTCCTCCATGTTTGTTTTTCTCCTGAAGTCAGAGTGAGTTTCTGTGAGAAGATGTTGAAAACTGTGGTCGCCCACATTTTTGAATTGGTTGCAACCCTAAACAATAAATTCACCTGCTTATCTCCCTTACTCTCACCTGTCAATAATAATCTGTTCCACGGAGCGCCACCTACAGGCCTGTAGCGCTTCCTTTAAGGACTTGCAGCTTTCGTCTAAATGCAGATATTTTCTCAATATGTATCTTTTTGATTTAGCATCGTTTATGGATTTTCAGCAGGTTTGATGTTCATACAGTTTGAAGCACTTTCTTTTTTTTTGCAGCTCGTCGTATTTGTCTCAGACTTTAGCATCTGCTTTTAAAAACATCTTTTTAAACATTTTTCTTTGTTTGTTTTTTTCTGCCGTTGCAGGTCGGTTGCCCTTGTCGGCTACCGTACGTTTTCCCTCTGTTAAAACATTGTGATCTGCAATGTTGATGAGATCAGAACGAACAATTTACATCACATCAATGCAGAGAACAAAAATACAGACAGAGCTGTGAGAAGAGAGCAGAATCTGAAACACACACACACACACATGGATCGACCTTCAGACTGTCCTCATTCATCTCTAACGCGCACACACACACACACACACACACACACACACACACACACACACACACAGTTAAAACACCTGCTGTTCCCCCAGAGGCCACTAGAGGACGCACTTGAGGAGGCATGTACCTGCATTCAGAGAGAGACATCCTGAAGCAGAGAAGAACCTGATCCTGTTCATCAAATCCTCTGAATATCTCTGCACATACAGACCACATCAGACAGAATTAACAACTTTTAAATTAATATGACTTTACTCGTTGCCATGGTTATTTATCTGATCTGGTGTAGATGTTATCAAAATATTTAAATGTGTCGCAGAGACTCAAACATCTGTGATAAGTGTGTGAAACATCAGGAGCTCATGGTTTCATGTTTCAGTTGAGTTCATGTCTCTAAATGTTCGAGCTGTTACTGCACAGGCCTGCTCTATAGTGAACTGAAATCCATCAGTCTTTGAACGCACCACCAAGTCCTTCTGTCCCTAATTTAATCCCCACCACTCCATGTTGCTCTGAAAATAAAACACACAGCTGAGATACACTGTTCAGGGAGGGGTGGGGGGTGAATGGCACTCAACTTTTCACTTTGATTTGACTAATAACAAAGACACATGACTGTAAAATAATTTAAAAGAGATTTGGACACTTTCATTTTTGAAAGATTTGTTAGGGTATTTCCTGCCTTTATTTAAAGAGACAGTACAGTGGACATAGTTGGAAATTGGGGCGAGAGAGAGAGAGAGAGAGAGAGCAGGAGACATGCAGGAAAGGAGCCACAGATCAGACCCAAACCCAGGCCGCCAGCTTCAAGGACCTTGCACAGCCTCCGTACATGGGAGGTGTAAACCTACCACATGGCCACTGGTGCCCCTGGGATACATTTTTTTTTCAAGTTATTGTATTTTAGTTATTTATCATAAAAACCCTACGTATGGAAGAGGATTAGGGCAGGACTTGAGAAATAAATAATGTTAGGGGAAGATTTTTTTTTTTTATTGTGCACTTAAAGTTGCATAAAGTTTAAATACAATCTTGTGAAATTTCCACTTTATTCTCAACATTGTTAGACACACAAAATCTTCCTCCTCTCAGCAGCAGCTCGGTCTGTAGGGACTTGGGTTGGGATCTGGACGGTCACCATGTTCAAGTTCTGGTGCGGACCAAGTCTGGAAACTGGTCTGGTAGCTGGAGAGGTGCCAGATCACTTCCTGAGCACTGCCGAGGCGCCCTTGAGCAAGGCTCTGAACCCTGTCCACCACCTCAGGAGCGCTCGCTGTGGGCAGCCCCCTTCACACTGATCTCTCTCCATCAGTGTCTGTTTGTGCATGTGTGTGTATGCCAGTCTGTGTGTGTGTAGCATGTTCAATAACAGAGTGTAGAATGTATTTCTATTTATTTCTCATACCTGGCCCTAATCGTCTTCCGTACTTATGAGTCACAGACTTCAGAGATGTTTATATTTCCCAGCGGGTGAGTGCTGTATCATCTCAGAGAGCGCCCTGTGATTATTTAAAACATTAAAATCTCTGCAGAACCTTTTTAACGAATCATAGTTGTTGTGACCCGTCCTGATCCTACAAACAACGAGCTTCCAGGCAGCCCGTGAAGGCACCACAGATGCACCTGCGTCTTGAGAACGCTGGCTTAGAGCCGCCCTGTGATTGGCCGGTTGAGACAGTGGGCGGGCCGTGTGCTCTGAGCGGAGCGGCTGATTAGGCAGAACACCTGGCTGTCAGGCTCTGAGCTCCTACCTGTCACTTCCTGCTGTCTCCTTTTATTCATTTTCACTTCTTTATTCGACACGGGCTCGTTTTCACGTCACGGCCGTGTGTGTATGACTCCGGCTCATGAAGCCCGCACGGTTCGCGGACCCTGCGGCACACACGTTACGACCTTGGCTTCATGTTCGTCTCAAAGGAGGAGTAACCCCCCCCCTCTCTCAGGAGCTGCTGGAGATCACCGCTTGGGTTTAATTAGCCTCCGTGCGGGACTGTAATGTGAGCTCTTCATCATCATCGTCTTCATCAAAACACCGAGCCGAGGGCGGCGCAGAGAGGGACACTGCCCGGGAAAAGGTAGGAGCAGAGCGTGGAGAGGAGGCTGTGGGGCTCGGTCACAGAGAGGGAGCAGGCCTGGCTCTGAGACTGTGTGTCGGGCTGTGTAAATGTGTATATATATATGTGTGTGTGTGTGTGTGTGTGTGTGTGTGTGTGTGTGTGTGTGTTTGTGTGTGTGTGTGTGTTTGTTGTTGTTGGGGGTGTCATAGAACTCGCTGTCATAAAACATGACACACACACCGACATTGCCGCTGTGTTTACGTGTGTTGTCTGTGAGTCTCTCTGTGAATCTGAGCCATCAAAACACGTCTGAGTGAGGAGCAGGGCCGGACTCTGATTTTACAGGGCCTGAACCACAACATGACGCGCCCCCCCCCCCCCCCTTCCCTGCAGTGAAACAAAATGTACTATACAGTTTTATAGTTCTCATTAAATGTCTAGTCTCACTGATCATACTGAATAACTGATCTGGAATAAAAACAGATCTGTTCTTTGGTGTTTTTGCACCACATTATGACACTGAAAAGATCCTCGTAGATCTGCTTTCTTGGACTTAGAACTTCATTTCGTACGTACTAATACAACCTCTCCTGCTCCGCACCTGCACAGATACCTAGAATAGAGTAGTGGTGTTACAGAGAATCCTGCAGATACTGATTGAGGAGAATTGCTTGTTTTAATCTTGCATATTTTATTAATCCCTGAAGGGGAAGTATTTGGGTTCATACTCTGTTATTGAGTGACCTGCTACTCACAAATAGGCTGGAAGTACACACATGCACAAACAAGACCTTTATGGAGAGGGGTCAGAGTGAGGGGCTGCTACACAGGGAGTGCACCAGGGCCGTTGTTGGGGGTTTGGTGTGCATAGGTCAAGGGCACCTCGGCAGTACTCAGGAAGTGGCCTGGCATCTCTACAGCAACCGGACCAACTTCCATACTTTGGTCTGAACCGGCAACCGTTTCGGTTTCCAACCCAAGTCTGTACAGACTGCACTACTGCTGTTCCAATGATTCTAAGGCTGTCTACACACGAGACGATTTAGAGCCCGATTTACCATCCCACCCCCACCCAACATCTGGGAGGCGTGGCCCGATTCAAGGTTGTTTCTTTCCTCCTCTTTGAGAGTAAACTGAATATATTTGGGCTGTAAAAGATCAATCAATCTTTATTTGTATAGCGCCAATTCATAAGAAGTGTTACCTCGAGACGTTTTACAAAAGAGCATATCTTACTCATTGTTAAGAAAAATGAGATGGTGGTAGTTTGGAGAAGATGCAGGAAGGATTTCTCCTTTGTGTTTCTCTCATTCCTGTTGTCCACACTTCCTCTCCGCTGAGGTGGAGGTCGGTGCAGGCTGAATGAGGACAGAGGTGGTTGTGGGGACGACGCAGTCTGATGGTGGAGGCTGGGCGTCTAGGACGTCGGGTGGTAGTAGTGCCAGATCACCTCGCTGAAGGTCAGGGGGAACACCTTCTACTTGAGAGCCTGGCTTCTATTGATCGGTGTGTTACTTCATAAATCCCCGGGGGCGGCAATAACTAAATGTAGATTATGCCACCAGGGGGCTCTCAATCAAAACAGTAACAAAAGATGACGTCGAGGCCGGCGGGGAATCATGGAAGTGATTCTCTCTGCCATTTCACCCCCATCCTCGGTGAAAACAAATTCCGAGTTGACCGTAGTCATGACGACTGGGTGAAACCGACCTGAGGAAGAGAATATGTTTAAAGACGAGCTGATGTAGCCGAGTATAATTTACATGACGTTTTTATCACAGGAGGGCAACAGTACAGCAGCTTTCAGTAGCAGCTCACTCTTCCTTATGCAGCGGTCTTTGATGTGACATCCGGTGTTTCCACGGCAACGATAAACAGGCCGCGTGTGTCATGGCGGCCGCCTTCAGGTACTGATTGTGATTTTAAATAATGAGCAGCTTTAAAATGATTTATCTTTAGTTTATTTCTCTTCAAACTATCCACTATGTAGTCGGTAAAATATGTTGTTTTGTCCTGACAGAACGTAAAGATCTAAAGGTAAACGAGGGATGCATTCCTCTGCACTGATTGGTTACGAGTGGCGGGCCGTCTCCGTCACCGTCTTGATCTATTGATTTGACGACGTCGTCCGGCTTCAGGACGAGGTGTGAATGAAATGTAAAATCAGCCTCCGAGAGTAAAAATAAAACCGGCACTCTGTGGGACTACTTTCTGTTTCCCACTACGGGCAGGAAGCTGCCGTTACCATGGATACGCAGAGCTGCATCACTGCATCACTGCCAGCGCTGTAAACACAGAACGTCGGCACACACCAAAAAACAACCATTAGATTATGATGATGATGATGTCACACACACGTGAAGACGTTAAGTTAGCTGCAGGTTTGTGCACAAAATATTCATTTTTTTAATCCTCAGAGTTTTTATTTGAGCTCCTCGTGAAAGATTTAGGTGAAGACAGTGAATCTTTATGATCTTTAATTATGAGATGTGACAGACTTTACTCTCCTCTTAGTTTCGCTTTCTCTTTGACTGTTGGTCAAACTAATCTGTTATTTCTCATCATGGGAGTGTGCTAGGGGCGGGAAAAAGAACCGATTCACTGAATCAAAAGGATTTTTTTATTGGAGGATTTTAAAAATCGATTTGTTTTGCCGGGTTCAGATAACCGTGACGTCGTATTTGTTTACCAAAAATCAGCCAACGTGAGCTGCGAGCAGCCAAAGAGAATATTTGTCACACCTCTAGATCGTTTGCTCTGGTCTGAATCATGGATCAGTTTGTTCATAAGTTGCAGAATGACCTAAAGTTTAGTCTCTGTTCACACGGGGACATTTACAAGAGGACCGGAGATCTGTGATGTGCGAGGAACATGCTCTCTGATTGGTCGGAAACAAAAGACTAGCTGCTAAAGAAAAGCGGACAGAGACCCTCCTCTTCAAGCGGTCTCCATATGGTTGATTGATCTGCACCAAAGTTTGATTGACAGCTTTCACACCGGCCCAAACGAACTGTACTAACTTGGCAAACGGACTCAAATTACATTTAACCGAAACAGGTTTGGTGTGAAAACGCCTTTTAATAGCTCTGCTCCAGGCGGCCAATCGTATTCGAGATGGGGCGTGACTTGTCGCAGATGTAACAGAGAAAACAGATGTTTGTCAGTTGACGATCACAGAGAACCAGAGTGTTTGATAGAAAGACTGACAATGTGAAACATGACTCGACTTTTAGAATATCGCATTAATCAATTAATCGCAGAACTTCAGAATCACAATTCAAATCATCCCTGAAGTTAGAGCCTGATGACCTGCCACGCTCTGTGCACCTGTGTGTGCATCATGAGTCAGAATCCGTGTGTGTGCATCAGCTGTACAAACATATCTGTATGTTGTTCTGTGTTCTTCTTCTCTCTTGTACAAACTTCAAAACATTTATCACACATGACAAAACCTAGGATCAAATTAAGCGACACACTGTAAGAACTCAACAACAACAACAACATATATCAGAGGTTTAGTCCATTTTTATTAATTTAGATATTTTAGTGTAAACATTCTATATATTTACATCTTTAAATGTCACATCTTTGTGAAGCCTGTGTCAGCGTGTTTTTTTTAACGAATCACAGAGAAGCTGGTGTTGTGTTTGTGTGAGTTGATGCAGTTCTGATGCAGTGAGCATTAAACTCTCATGACTGATCAGCTGACTGATCAGCTGACTGATCAGCTGCAGTCATAAATCTTAGTTTCATTGTCAGTCATGTCTCATGGGGTTAGATCGATGCTCTTTCTTCTTCTTGTTTTCACATTTTCAACAAATCACATCAAACACTTGAGGAAAAGATTTATAAGAAAGACAAGACTGTCACTCAGCTGGAAAGTAACTGAGCGTGCATCACCGCCTGACTCTCTGCAGAGTGATGATGATTGTTGTTGTACAGCGCCCTCTGCTGGTGAAAGAGAACTACTAGTGTAAAATAATGAAACGCTGTTAGACTGGTGAATAAATCGAGTAATGTGGCTTAGTGTAGTAGGACTCAAAAAGTGGTCTTGGTCTCAGTGACATGCCCCCCTGCACACAAGATGATGAATTTTCTCTGATATTCTTGGTCTTGTCTCGATCCCCAAATGTCTTGTTCTTGGTCTTGTCTCAGTCTTGCCCTTTCTTGTTCTTGGTCTTGATCCCTAAATGTCTTGGTCTTGCCCTGGCTTAGTCTTGGTCTTGACTCGGTCTCGATCCCTAAATGTCTTGGTCTTGTCTCGGTCTTAGTCTTGGTCTTGACTAGGTCTTGATCCCTAAATGTCTTGGTCTTGTCTCTGTCTCGCCCTGCCTTGGTCTTGGTCTTGACTCCCACCATGGCGTCCTCCATATTATCAGCTGTTTTGCGTAAACAACGTTGCTATAGCAACTGTCGGCCGGCTTAAAGTGACTTTAAGGTTCATATGGTACTGGCTGATATGAAACTAAGTCCCCATGGTGTTTCGCTCTCAGGGAACTCCCTGCTCGATAGTTCCTCTTCAAACAGTCCTCAGAACTGTTTGGTATGAAAACGTCTAATGTCGCCTTTTTCCCAGAATGTGTGTGGTCGTTTCCTGTCATGTATTTCCTGTCAGCTTACAGTTGTGGATTTGACAGAAAGAGGAAGAGTCCTCTGCAGTCAGCGTGCTTCTTATGATGGTGTCTTACATTTTTAGAGACCTGCTGTGGAGCCAGCTGTCATAACTGCAGATGTTTGCGAGTGTTGTGAAGATGAGCGTGAGACGTGTGCAGAGGTGTTTATCAGGACGTGGAGTTTGTGTCCTCGTGTTATCTCTGTGGTCATATAAAGCGAATGATAAAGACTCTGAACCTGCAGAGAAGTCTGCTGAGCTGCACTGATGGTGATCGCAGAAAAGAACACAGATAGAGACGTGGAGAGTTTGCTGTTTGTGTTTTTGCAAATTAAGATTTAAAGAGACAGAAAATGTAAAACATAGGGGATGAACCGATCCAGATCCGTAACAGGTCTGTTGTAAC